ACTATGGCTCGTGTTAATTTTTGTATATAGTGTGAGGTTTGGGTCAAGGTTTTTTCCTTCCATTTGATACTAATATCCATTTGTTCAAGTGCAATTTGTTCAAAAGATGTTCCTTTCTCCCACTGAATTGTATTTGCACCTTTCTCAAAACTCAGTTGTCCATATACATGTGGGTCTATTTTTGGACTCTCTTTTGTTCCATTTATATATCTGTTTGTCCTTACATCAATACTACACTGTCTGAATTACTGTAGCTTTATAGTAAATCTGAACATTAGTTAGTATAAATCTTTCATACTTTTTCTTCTTTCTCAAGACTGTGTTGGCTATTCTAGGTCCTTTGTATATCCATATAAACTTTAAAATCTCCGTGTCAGTTTTTATCCCCTATAATTACAAATAATTGATTGAACAAGTAGAATTCCATAAAGCAACAGATCTCAACAACACACAACCAACTTTAAATCTATATATAGAGAGATCATATATATATATATATATATATATATATATACAATATTAGTACACAACACCCATCAACAGCTAAATATATTCTTTTCTCAGACCACAACAGAATTAAATTAGACAACATAAAGGAAGTAGACAAATTCCTTAAAAAATACAACTTACTATGTCTGACAAAAGATGAAACAGAAAATCTGAATAGCCCTATGTCTATTAAAGAAATTGAATTTGTTATTAAAACTTTCTCATCAAGAAAACTCCAAGCCCGATGGTTTCACTGGTGAATTCTATGAAACAGTGAAAAAAAGAAGTAACAATCTTACACAAACTATTTCAGATAATAGAGAAGGGAAAACTTCACAACTCATTTTTTTTGTGGCCAGCATAACCCTAATACCGAAACCTGACAAAGATACTGCAAAAGAGAAAACTACAAACCAATATCACTCATGAAAAATGCCAATATTTTTTTAAAAATCAGTAAATAGAATCCAACAATGCATTGATATAATAAGGGTAACAAATCAAAATCAACTAGTATTTATCTCAAAAATGCAAGGTCAATTTATCATTTGAAAATCAATAAATAAATTCACATATTAACAAAATAAAAGTGATCATATGATCACTCTAATAAGGTGAAGAAAAAGCACTTGACAAAATACAATATGTAACCATGATAAGAGAAAACCTCTTCAATAAGCTAGGATTAGAAAGAACTTACATAACCTGATAAAGGGCGGTTTCAAAAAACCTACAGCTAACATCATACTTCATGGTACGAACTTTCTGCCCCAAATATCAGAACAAGGCAAGCATGCCCATGCTCAACACTTCTATTCAACATCAAACTAAAGGTCTTAGACTGTGAAATAAGGAAAGGAAAAGAAATACAAATCATGAGATTGGAAAGGAAGAAGTAAAAGTGCCCTTAAAGTGATGATGATTACTTACATGAAAAACCCCAAGGAACCTACAAGAAAACTAATAGGTGGATTTAGAAATGCCTCAGGATACAAAGTCAACATACAAAAATAAATCACTAGCAATTTATACTAGCAATGAACAACATGAAAATAAAAAAAAACAATGCCATTTATAATAGTATCAAAAAACATTAAATACTTAGGGATAAATTTAATGGAGGATACATAAAACTTCTAAACAGAAAGCTATAAAACATTGCTGAAAGAAATCAAAGGTCTAAATAGATGTAGAAAGTTGCCATATTCATGGATTCAAAGGCTCAATATTATTAAGATGTCAGTTCTCCTAAAATTGATCTACAGAATTAATACCAAAATCCCAGCAAGCTTTTTCAAAAAAATTACAAACTGATTATAAAATTTATATGGAAATGCAAATGACCTAGAAGAGCTAAAGTAATTTTTTTAAAAAGCCAAGTTGGAGAACTTACCCTACCTGACTTCAAGACTCATTATAAAAGCTACAGTAATTAAGTATGGGTCTGGCAAAAGGACAGTGTATTAACTATATTTTCTTATTTTCTGTATTCTTGATGCTCTGGCATCTGATGCCTTGCTGATCCTGGAGAGACTGCCCCTCCCAGGGCTAGTTATTTCCTAGAGGCAGTAAATGACTTCCCTGTAACAATACCTTTCATATGCAAAACAACCAATCCAGAGCCCATATCCACCAATTATCTCCTTCATCATGATCTCACTAGCCCCATGCCCAAATCACCTCAGGGCTGGGTACCAGGCAACTCCCTACACCCCAGAGCCAGCTGAAATTACTCAAACTAGCTAATTCTAAACCTCCCCAGCCTGATTACTCTGGCTCACCCATTATTTCCATGAAAATCACAATAAAGTCTCTTGCCCATGCTTCCTCCTCACAACTTCTACCTTGTGATTGACTCTGGTGCTCCCTGGTGTGACCCTACATGGTGTGGCATGCCTCCTCCTCTTGAGAACTGTGAGTTACAAACTATTTTCAATGGCAGTTGTCTCTGGATCTGTTGACCTCACCATACCTAAATAATAATAAAACCTTCATTTTAAAACAGAAAGACATATAGATCAATTGAACAGAATAGAGAATCCAGAAATAGGTTCACATATATGAAATCAATTGATCTTAATAAATGTGTCTAGGAAATTCAGTGGGAAAAAAGTCTCTTCAGCAAATGGTTCTAGAACAACTGAATGTCGTACTGAAAAAAATGAACATCAATCCTTACATTAAACACACAAAATGGATCATAGACCTAAACCGAAAAAGGTAAAATAATAAAACTTATAGAAGAAAATATGAGAAAATCTTTGTGACCTTGTAGTAGGCAAAGATTTCTTAAACAGATCACAAAAAATACTAAAAGTTTGAAAAAGATGATAAATTAGACTCCATCAAAATTAAAATATTTGCCTTTTGATAGGCAACAGTGAGAAAATAAAATTGCAAGGCACAAACGGACTCACAGACTTAGAGAATGAACTTATGGTTACCAGTGGGGGGAAGGGTGGAGGGAAGGAATAGTTAGGGAGTTTGGGATTGACATGTATACACTGCTATATTTAAAAAGGATAACCAACAGGGACCTACTGTATAGCACAGGGAACTCTGCTCAATGTTATGTGGCAGCCTTGATGGGAGGGGAGGCTGGAGGAGAATGGATACATGTATATGTATGGCTGAGTCACTTTGCTGTGCACCTGAAACTATCACAGCATTGTTAATCAGCTATACTCCAATATAAAATAAAAGTTAAAAAAATATTTTAAAAAATTGCAAGGCACAGATTGGAACAAAATATCAGTGATACATATATCTGACTTAGGAGTTGTATCGAGCAAATATAAACAACTCTTAAAACTCAATACAAAGAAGACAAACAACCCAATAAAAAATGGGAAAGATATTTGAATATACAACTCACAAAAAATGTACAAATGGTCAATAAGCACATGAAAAGATACTTAACATCATTACTCATCAGAGGAATGCAACTTAAACTCATACATCCACTATAATAGCAAAGATTAAAGAGACTGAGGATAGCAAGTGTTGGTGAGGATTTGGAGCAACAGAAATTCTCATGTATTGCTGTTAGGAATGTAAAATAATACAGCCACTTTGGAAGACAGTTTGGCAATTATAAGAAATTATAAGAAAGGTAAGAAAACACTGATTATATTATACCAGCAACTCCACTCCTAGGTATTTACCCAAGAGAAATGTAAACATATGTTCACACAAAGACATATCAGAATGTTCACTGCAGCTTTATTCATAATAACCAAACAATGACCACCTGTCATCAACAGGTATAGAGATAAACAAATTACAGTATAGTCATACCACGGAATAGTATTCACTATTTAAAAGGAACAAACTAGTGATACACTCAATAACATGAATGAATTGCAAAATCATTATGCTGAACAAATAAAGTCAGACGCCAAAGGGTATATACAGTATGATTCCATTTATAGGAAACCCTAATAAAGACAAATCTAATCTATAATAACAAAAAGCATGCCAATGGTTGCCTGGGGCCGAAGTGGTGTTGAGTATTAACTTCAAGGGGCATGAAGGTGCATTCTGTGTGATGGAATGTAATATGTCATGATTGGGGTGGTGGTTATATCAGTGTGTACCTTTGTCAAAACTCAGGAAACTGTACTCTTAAAATGGATACATTTTATGGTATGTAAATTATACCTTAATAAAGCTGATTTTAAAAGAAAAAATGCTAGGTGACAGTGATCATAAAGTCAGAAGATGGGAGAGAGGCGTGAGATAGGGAAGGTGGAGAGAAGTGAGGAATCTAAAGGCAATACCTACATAGAGAAAAGAAGGTAAGGCTGGTTGTAGATGACAGTTTATTGGTATCTTAGAATGAGAAGATGAAAATGAGATGGAGAAGAAGGTGAAAGGGCACCAGGGAGAACAGGAGTGAGGCAACCAACTGATCTTCAAAGATGGAAAATCCATTAAAACCTGAATGTATATGATAAGGATCTAAGACCCTCGGAGTGGGGTTTCGGTACTAAAGCATAAAAATGTGATAGAAGGAGAGAATATCCAAGAAAACCAGATCCATACTGAGGAAGCCTGTCATATGATCGAGACTATACATATTGCAGCAATTCTCCTGGAGGAAAGCCAAGCCAAGAAGACAGTTGATAACAGTAAGGGAAATAAAGGGAGAGAGCAATTTGGTACCAGAGAGGCCAATGTTATCTATTTTCAAGAAGTTTCTAAAGTTTTGAACCTTCAGTGGGAAGCACCCGCATAGCACAGGGAGATCAGTTTGGTGCTTTGTGACCACCTAGAGGGGTGGGATAGGGAGGGTGGGAGGGAGGGAGACGCAAGAGGGAAGAGATATGGGGATACATGTATATGTATAGCTGATTCACTTTGTTGTAGAGCAGAAACTAACACACCATTGTAAAGCAATTATACTCCAATAAAGATGTTAAAAAAAAAAAAGGGTAGCAATCATAGCCTTTTACAAGTATCAGCCTCAAGTATTTCCATGTCTCCCTTCTGCCCGGATCACACTCGCTCACCTGAGCAGCTCTGATGTGGGGTTTCCTCCTCCAACGTCCAAGGCTCCTCTCCTTGCTCCAACTTGAAGATGACCTCTGGCTTGGGAATTTCACACCCTGTTAACAGGAAATGATAGAAAATGGGGTCCAGCTAATTGCTTTCCATTTGTTCTTTGGAAAAGTGACCACATTTCATTGGGAAAAGAGTAATAAGCACAAAGGTGCAAAGGGACTGAAGAATCTCAGACCAATCAAGGATGACACCATCACACACTTCAGATGCCCCAGAGCACTCAGCAGCTGAGGATGGAAGCAGCCTCTCTGAGGTTCTGTGTTAGTTCCCCTAGGGCTGCTCTAACAAAGTACTGAAAACTGGGTGGCTTAAAACAATAGGAAGGTATTGTCTCATATTTCTGGAGGCTAGAAATCTAAAATCAAGGTGTTAGCAGGGTCATGTTCTCTCTGGAAGATATAGGGGAGAATCCTTCCTTGTATCTTCTAGCACTTGTGCTTGCCAAAATCTTTAGCATTCCTTGGCTTGTAAACGCATTTTACTCCAGTCCCATGGCTGTCTTCTCCCTGTGCGTCTCTTCTCATTGTCTTCCCTCTATGTGTGCCTATTTCAGTGCCCAAATTTCCCTTTTTTGTAAGGATACCACTCAATTAGGGCCCACACCAATGACCTCATCTTAACTTGATCCCCTCTGTAAAGATTACTACTTGCAAATAAGGGCACATTCTGAGGTACTGGGGGTTAAGATTTCAACATATTTTTTTTGAGGGGACACAATTCAACCCATAAGAGCTGGCCCTCTGATGCCCCAAAATTCATGTCCTTCCCATGTGCAAAATACACTAACCCCATCCCAGTATCCCCCGAAGTCTTAATCATCCCAGCATCAACTCTTACGTCTAAAATCTCATCTAAACATCAACTCAAGGGGTAGAGTGAAGTAAGTCAGAAAGAGAAGGACAAATACCGTATGCTAACACATATATATGGAATTTAAGAAAAAAAAATGTTATGAAGAACCTAGGGGTAAAACAGGAATAAAGACACAGACCTACTGGAGAACAGACTTGAGGATATGGGGAGGGGGAAGGGTGAGGTGTGTTAGGGCGAGAGAGAGACATGGACATATATATACTAACAAACGTAAGGTAGATAGCCAGTGGGAAGCAGCCGCATGGCACAGGGAAACCGGCTCGGTTCTTTGTGGCTGTCTGGAGGGGTGGGATAGGGAGGGTGGGAGGGAGGGAGACAAAGAGGGAAGAGATATGGGAACATATGTATATGTATAACTGATTCACTCTGTTATAAAGCAGAAACTAACACACCATTGTAAAGCAATTATACCCCAATAAAGATGTTAAAAAATAAATAAATAAAAAATAAAGTTATTATAAATCATGGCTATAAAAAAAAAGTCTCAAATCACATCATCTAAATCATCCAAATCTTACAGGTGAGACTTGAGTATGAGTCATTCTGGGACAACATTCCTCTCCATGCAAACCTGTGGAAACAGATGAGTTATCTGCGTCCAAAATACAGTGGTGGGACAGGCAGAGGATGGATGATACTCCCATTCCAAAAGGGAGAAATTAGAATTTAAAAAGGGATGGGAGGTCTCAAGCAAGTCTGAAACCTAGCTGGGCAAATTCCATTAGATTTTAAGGCTTCACAATAATTCTCATTGGTACAACACTCTGTCCTCCAAGCCCACGAGGGTGGTAGCCCCACCCACTCAGCCACGGGCCAGGAGTGGCACCACTTACTATTACCACTAGTGACCCATTAGCAAAAAATTTGCTTCCTGTACCGGCAATGTTATGCTCTGCTGTTCTACACATTTTAGTTCCAAAGGGAGGAACACTTCCACCGAGAGACACAACAATGATTCCATTGAACTGGAAGTTAAGTCTGCCACCTGGACATCTTGGTCTTTTCATGCCTCTGAATCAACAAGCAAAGAAGGGAGTTACTGTGCTGGCTGTGGTGGTTGATCTTGACTACCAAGGGGAAATTGGACTGCTATATCATGATGGAGGTAAAGAAGAGTATGTCTAGAATACAGGAGACCCCATAAGGCATACTATCATGCCCTGTGATTAAAGTCAATGGAAAACTACAACAATTCAACTCAGGCAGCACTACTGATGGGCCAGACCCTTCAGGAATAAAGTTTTGGGTCATCCCACTTGGTAAAAAACCACAACCAGCTGAGGTGCTTGCTGACAGCAAAGGGAACAAAAAACGGGGTAGTGGAAAAAGGAATTCTGCTTCAGGACTGCGACATAAGAAATCTGCCTAGTTTGCAGTCTGTGGCCTGCCCTGTGGATTTCAGACTCAAAAGTTCGACATCAACTCACCTGAATTTCCAGTCTGCTGGCCTGCCCTTCAGACTTGCCAGTCCCCACAACTGGGTGAGCTGGTTCCTTAAAATAAATCTCTCCCCCCTACTCTGTATTTATGTACACACATGCGCATGCACGTATGTGTATACTCTCTATATGTATATACCCGTATCCTATTGGTTCTATTTCTCTGCAGAACCATAATACAGAGTTTGGTACTGAGAGTGGCTCTAGAGGAACAGAATCTCAAGGATGAGTTTTCTGAATTAGTTATGGGATTTCTAGAATTGGTTCCTTATTCTGGTTAGATTCAAAAGCACTAATGCCTCTATTTCAGTAGTAAGGAGGGCACTAATAGTCCCTGGTGTAACATGGCAATAGAGATATGCAAAATATCAACACTGGATACTCCTAATCAAATGCTTATAAGAAGTGAGGTTCTGGATAACCTTGTATTTGATACCTTGGAAGTTTTTGTCAAACTTCCAAGTATAATAAGATTGCCTGGTTACTCCTAATTGCGCTGGATGAAGTGGGGAAAGAAAAGGATGAGCTCAGGGATTTGATTTTCCAGATCATGCATCGCATAAGTGACCTGAAAATTTCTCTGTCTGTCCTGAAAGTAACCCTTAGCTCCTATAGCTGCAGAGCTGAGATGGCTGAAAACCAAACCCAGAGTCTCATCCTGTGAGTGGCTAAATTACAACACAAATTGAATTTCCAACTTCACAGAGTGTCTGCTGTTAAAGGAGAGCATTGATGAGGAAGGAATGGGATCCTGAAAACTGGAATGGAGACATATGAGGACACTGAACTTCTAAATTCAGATGAGTCTTTGCCAGTAGAAGCAGCCCTTTTACCCTCAACTGAGAAGTTTAACCCTCCTCTGCCAGAGGAGCCTGCAGTGGGCTCCCCTGAGGGACTTGCCTTGTAAGGTACTGCTGGTTCCCCTCAGGACCTATGCCTACCACCCTTCTTTGCTTCCAGACCTATAACTAGACTTAAGTCTCATCAAGGCCCAAGGGTGAGGTACAGAGTGTGACCCATGAGGAGGTGTGAGATACTCCAAAAGAACTGCATGATTTGTCCAATCTATACGGACAGAAATCTGGGGAATATGTGTGGAAATGGATATTAAGAGTGTGGGATAATGGAAAGAACATAAAGTTGGATCAGGCCAAAATTATTGATATGTGTACACTAAGCAGATTCTGAATGTAATGTTGCCACTTGAGGGGTTAGGAAGGGCTGAAACAGTGTGTTTGGCTGGTTGATTGAAACATGGACCAAAACATGGCCCACACTAAATGCAGCTGAAATGCCAGGACTACTTTGGTGTACTACAGAGGAAGGCATCCAAAGGCTTAGGGAGATTGGAATGTTAGAGTGGATTTATCATGGAAGGTCTGCTCACTCACACTGGGAGGGTCCAGAGACACACCTGTCATGATGACTGTGACTAATAAATTTGTGAAGGGGCCCCAGGTAATCTGTGATTACTCTTTGCTGCAAGCTCCTTGCTGTAGGTCAGAAATTTCAGTGGGAACTTCTGCCAGTGAACTGGGAAACCTAAATGCAATGGGAGTAATTGGATCCTGGGGTGGCAGGGGCCAAACGGAGGCATTGAGTTGTCAAATGCAAGGTGGATGCGGTTACCGCAGGGTCAAAGCAGTAATCAGAAAAGTCCGATTCACACATAAGAGTAGACATTTTTATAATACTGTTTTAATTCATTCTCCTACTCATTAGACTTCAGACATCTTTCAAAACAAACCTTTATCTTAGTGTTCCATTATTTAAGAGATAACCTTCTTTCAAGGCAGCAGAGTTAGGACAGTCTAAGAAAAGCAGGACAAAAACAGTATATGAACATTTAGCAAAGAACAGTTTTCAGATATTTATGAAACTATGCTACATACTCATATATTTATATGTTATATGTCTATACCTCTCTATCCTTCTAACACTATATGAGAATAGGGGAATAGCATTAAATATAACACCTGGGAAGACCTTGGGAAGCCACAGGGAGAAGACGGTCATCTACAATCAAGGAGAGAGGCCTCAGAAGAAACCTACCCTGCTGGCACCTTGATCTTGGATTTCCAGCCTCAAGAACTGCTGTGGAAGACACCTCAGAAGAAACCTACCCTGCTGGCACCTTGATCTTGGATTTCCAGCCTCAAGAACTGCGGTGGAAGACAACTGATACACCAGAAATAGATCTACACGTGGAGCAACTCCTACAGAACGCCTACTGAACGCTGGCAGGAGACCTAAGACCTCCCAAAAGGCAAGAAACTCCCCACGTACCTGGGTAGGGCAAGAGAAAAAAGAATAAACAGAGACAAAAGGATAAGGACGGTACCTGCACCAGTGGGAGGGAGCCGTGAAGGAGGAAAGGTCTCCACACACTAGGAGCCCCTTCGCGGGCAGAGATTGCGGGAGGCGGAGCGGGGAGCTTCGGAGCCGCGGAGGACAGCACAGCAACAGGGGCGCGGAGGGCAAAGCGGAGAGATTCCCGCACAGAGGATCGGCGCCGACCGGCGCTCACCAGCCCGAGAGGCTCGTGTGCTCACCCGCCGGGGGCGGGCGGGGCTGCGAGCTGAGGCTCGGTTTCGGTTTCGGTCAGAGCTCAGGGAGAGGACTGGGGTTGGCAATTTGAACATAGCCCGAAGGGGTTAGTGCGCCACGGCTAGCCGGGAGGGAGTC